GATAATCTGTCTAGGTCCCTTCTGACTCATTGATTCTATGATAATGTAATGACTTTTCTCACATGATATGTCTATAATCTGTGCTGGTTTACTGCTCTATGAGCATACACACATTGCTGATTAATGGGATACTGTGCATAATAAGCCTCACAAGCTAGGGACAGACGCTTACAAAGCCTGAGCTTGAATTGATTCAATATTTTCAGATTAGTCTGCAGAGATTGAACTGATCTGCAAGTGGACAGACATCCACTATTCATTCTAGAAATGCAGGCACATGCCTGCAGTTAATCAGGCCAGAAGCCCAGGGACGCTAGCACAGCCCGGACTTCCCTTCCACAGGGAAGTTGAGCAGGGGAGGGAGGGGCATGGCCAAGCTCTGGCAAGCCTGAGTGACTGAGGGGTTTAACCCCCCCACCTTGGCCTGCAGGGTTTGGAGGGTGGGGGAAGAAGGAGCATGGCCAGATGGGACATAGCCAGACTCCTGCGGTGGGGGGACAGTATGAACAAAGGGGAGAGCCCCGCCCCCTGCAACAGCTCCCTGACAGCTGGGAGCAATTTGGGCGCACAGCTCTACTGCCCGGCCCCAGAGGGGGACTTTTTCCTTCTTCCTCCCTCCCGCCCACCACCGCAGGGTGGGGAGGGGGGCTCTGTGCAGCACTGCCTGGCCCCAGAGGGGGACTCTTTTTTCCTCCCCCCCTCACCCACTGGGTGGGGAGGAGGGGGGCTGTGTGTGGTGATGGAAGGAGACTCTTTCCCCTCCCCCTGCTGCTGCAGTGGGGTCCCCCAGGGCTTGGTCCTCGGGCCCACGCTGTTCAACATTTTCATCAGCAACTTGGACGAGGGGGTGAAAAGCACCTTGTTCAAATTCACAGATGACACTAAGATGTGGGGAGAAGTGGGGATGCTAGAAGCGGGTGGGGAGAAGTGGGGATGCTAGAAGCGGGTGACAGGCTGCAGTTGGATCTGGACAAGTTAGAGGGGTGGGCGGATGAGAATAAGATGGGATTCAACACTGACAAGGAGGCTAGATAGACACCTTGCTGGGGTCATTTGACCCCAGCATCCTTTCCTGCCCATGTCAGGGGGTTGGACTTGATGATCTGCTCAAGTCCCTTCCGACCCTACCAACTATGAAACTATGAGACTCTGTGCAGCACTTCCCAGCCCCAGAGGGAGACTGTTCCCTCTCCTCCTCTCTGTCCCCACCCCGCCAGCTGCAGGGTGGGGAGGAGGGCTCTATGTGTTACTGGAGGGGGACTCTTCTACCTCCTCCTCTTGCTGCGCCCCGCCCTCCCTTCCCCTCCCCCACACCGCCACAGGACAGGTGGTGGTCGGGGGGGGGGCAGGTCTGGGCAGCACTGCCTGGCCCTGCCCAGCCTGGGTATGGGGAGCGTCTGCAACTGCTGGGGAGGGCCCTACCCCTGTGGCCCAGGCCAGCCCTGCTCAGCCCCAGCCAAGACAGCTGCATGGTGGTGCCAGGCTGTGGGACAAGGCGCTCCCCAGCAGCTGCAGCTCAGTAACAGGGAAGCTGAGCCCTCTCCATGACAGCAGCATGGCCCAGCATGCTTGGGCAGTGGCTGGCCAGGCAGCGGGTTACCCAGGCTGGCTCAGAGGTATTGCGGGGGCTCGTGTCTGCAGTGAGACCCTGCGGTGGGCAGCTGCCAGGCTCTGGGCCCACCAGCACCTCTGAGCCAGCCTGAGTAGCCTGTTGCTCTGCCAGCCACCACCTGTGCATGACAGGCCATCCTCAGCTTCCCTGTCACTGAGCTGCAGCTGCTGGGGAGGGCCTCATCCCTTCGGCCCAGCTCGGGTTGGCCCCACCATGTGGCTGTCTTGGCCAAGGCTGAGCAGGGCCAGCCTGGGCTGTGGGGGTGGGGCCGGGGCCCTTCCGAGAGGCTGCAGCTCAGTGACAGCCACTTCCTGCACCCAGGCTGGACAGGGCTGCACAGAGTCCCCAGAACACTATTTTCTGGCAGTCATCTTATTTAAAACTTGACCCAGAATAAGCATTTCCCCAGAGACAGGAATTCTTCAGGTCTTAGCATAATTTTCCAATCCTTCAATTATACTTATTTGCATGAAGACCAGTTTTATGAATGTCCAGAAAATATAATCATGACTTTTCAACTACTGATATGGAAAAACTGCTTCTGCTGGCCTTGCTGTTTAGGGGGAAATGGCTGTAATCCTTGTTGCTGGTAAGTACATAGCATGGTGCACTGTTTGATTTAAGAGTTTTCTCTGGGTTAGCCAGTGCAGTTTAAAAAAATCAAAATCATGCTGATACAGAGTTATTTTTTAGCAGTTAACTTATAATTAGCAGCATTATTGGTGATAACATCTATTCCCCTTTCAGTTCAAGAATTTCCCCATTAAATACCATTTTCCAATTACCTTGTATATGATTAAGTTTTTCTCCCTGCTGGCAAAATAGTCCTAATGTTTCATCACTCTGGCACTTGGATAAAGTACATCTGCTCAATATTTTTCTTCAATCAAGTAAGGAAATATAGAAGTATAAGAGATGGCAATATTTTGAGGCACATTTTAAGGCAACGCTCCAGTTCATTTGTAAATGGAAGCAAGTAGGGGACATTGAAATGCCATCTGAAGGAGTATCATTTTATAAAATAGCAGAAGAGGCTGGGCCAGGAAACCTTAAATCTGGCTGATAATATAAGCTAGACAAAGCATGTTTCCATTTCTTCCAGGAATAGGAACACTTGATTTACATCCAGAGTTTGGAACTTTAATTATTTGGCAAAGATAGTAAAAAGTACTACTAATGCTCCGTGACAGCAAAGTATTCAGTAGTGCACGAAAAGGCTGCTCGTTATTTTACGCTGTATCCTTAAGAAAGCTGTTGGGGTTTTTTCTTTCCCTCTCCAACCGTTTCAGAAGATCTTTAATGTAAATAGCTCCTGCCCAGCTCATCCCATTATAGTAAACCTGACTTTTACTCCTTTCTGGGGGAAGACAGTCCCAAATGCCCACGTAGTTTGTTTGTTTGTTTTTAACACATCCTTACTCCAAGGAGCAGGGCACTGAGCAAGCATCTGAATGTATCTCCAACATATTGGATTTGTTGTATTTAATGACAGAATAACAGTAACAGTCTTGTTGTAACACCTCCTGTCTATGTGTTCCATGTTTGTTCGTGCAAGTAAAGTGCTTATTAACGGGGATGTTTCCACATGGGTTTTCCAGTTACAGTATTCTAGTTTCCTGCAATAGTTTTAAAGAATGATGAACATTAAAAGTCATCCTCTTGAACAGCCTTTGTGATAAGGCTGTTTTAGTATGCCCCAAATTAGACAGCACTTTCTCCCTTAATTTGCTGTGTGCCTTGGTAAATTAACAGCTTTAATACATAAGATTGCTCAGCTAGATTTTCTGCTTAAGACATCAAGAATTTGAGTGAGGAAAACAAACTCCATCTTCTTTCCCTGACCATTTGTTATTAAAAATTAAGGTGGAATATTAGGTTTTTGAGAACTGTTCAAACATGGGTATATCCACTCATTACCCTAATGCTACCACCAAGAAAGCAGATACTACAGGAAGTATAAGATAAATCCACAACGGGATGGAGGGATATATAATACCCAATTCCCACTGAAATGCAGTGGGAATTAGGCACCTAAATACCTTTGAGGCTTTAAGCCTTAAACACCCGAGTCCAACATTTAGGTATTGCTGAGCTATTTAGAACCCTGCTCAGATGCTGCCTAAATATCTAAGGTGCCTGGGGTCCTTCAGTGCTAAAGTTTCTTGCTGGGGAGGTGTACAAAAATACCAGCCCTTGCAGTTTCCTCAATCCTCCTGCACATCTGATCCCAAGAAAGTCAGTGCAGTTGTCATTTCCTCTTTGATCTTTGTGGCTCTGTTCAGCTGCCAGTTGATCAGGGGTCAGTCCAGGGGTGTGCAGTGGCATTGGATGTACCCCCCTGTTCAGCCAATAATGCCATGGGAGCAGCTTTTGGGATCTTTTTGGGCACATTCCCTCCTCTGATCTCCTTCCCCGTTCCCTGGTGCCACTATCCCTAGCTACCCCAGGGGCAAGGATGGGGGCAGACTCCAGAACTGCCCTTGCCTACTCCAGCTCTGCAGGAAGTCAGGCTCATCCAGGGACAGCAGCAGCAGTGGGTCAGTTCCTTCTCCCTACCCAGTTCCCCCCAGGAGTTCCTACCAGCCTGGGAGCAGGCGTGGGGAAAAGTAACCCAACCCACTTCCTGTTGTTTTTGGCCAAGCCTGGGTCCATATGCAGCCTGGCTGAAGCAGGGCAGGAGGATCTCCAGAGACTCTTTCCCATCCCTGGAACAGCTAAGGACAGCAGCACTGGCAGGCAAGGGATGGGTAGAAGGGGATGGGAGGGGACATGCCTCTGAGCAGGGAGGGGGAGGGGGAGGGAAAGTTCTTATCTGATTGTGGGATAAAAAAAACAATCCCTGACTGCTGCTCCTGTAGGCGGTCTGCCACCCTGGTGGGGGGGACAAGGAGACTGGGAGCAGGAGTGCTGCCACCCCTGCAGTGCTGGTTGCTGCTCACACAGCCACTTTACAAAATCCTGGATCCACCCATGTCTGAGATGCCCATGTGAAGGAGATACATCGTCATCATCGGCTTAGTTCACACAGGCCACCAAATACTGCTGATTGATACCATTAACAAACTTTGACTAATTTCAGAACAGTCTAGCCTCATGTTATAAATACAATGCTGAATAGTAGTATTTTCATGTGCTTAACTGAAATTATGCCTGTTTTCCCTAGGACCAAAAATGGTGCAAGTATAGCATCTTAAATAGCCTATTATACCAATTAAGCTCACCTCACAAAAATCCAATAAATGACTTTTATTAAATATATTCTTTTCCTCTAAAATATAAATATTAACTACTCTTATAAATGTAGAGTAAGGTCATATTTCATTTGTCAAACCCATCCAAATAAGAATCAGTCCAAAATCTGTAAATGAAGAAATAACATTTGTAATTACCTTTTTTTAATTTGTCTATAAATATATAATATGCACTTTCATTGCAAACTATTTAGTTATTCACTTATACTTCATATGGTACTGAGCACCTTAGATTACATATTGTGGAATTTATTTGTTGACACAGATATATGAATTCTGATTATTTACAATGCACATACATGTAATTTTATAACATTCCAGTGATCTTAAGTGTTAAAAGGTATAAGGAGATAGTGCAGTATAATTTACATTTTCATTTCACCGTACCCACAGTACATCAGTTGCTACTTTAATCTCTGGAATTTCCAGAGGAATATGGATCCAAATTCATTAAGTATTTGTACTTGTACAAAACCAAAACAAAACACTTTGCTTGGGTGACTTGGAAGATGTAATGATTTAACAGAGGGATACAATTTTGAATTTACTTTTTACATGCTCTGCACAGGCTGCTACTGAAATACAATCTTGTGATCGAAGGCCAGTCCCCAAACATATGACATACATTTGCCTCCCAAAAGAGGCAATATGAGTATTGTGAAAATTTAAGCCGGAAAGACCAACACTTTGTGCCAAGGAACTGCATGAATATCAGTTTTGAGGAGGTTAGAAATGCACACTATTGGACAATATTGGTATATTATTTAAATTTACACATTTTAGATAGTTTTAGTTCCTTACATAAGTCCCAATCAAAGTAAAAGAGTTCAGATAGACCAACTGTTTTCAGGATTTTTTGTGAAGATAACAATTTCAAATATTTAATTTGTGTGCTGTCGTCTTTGGGTGTAATGTTTGCAAGTACAATACAACTTTTGTGAATTTAGCCCAACATCTCTTAAAACTTGTAAAGGAGTTTCTATTACTAGTTAGCCCATTATAAAAATATAGATTATTTTATGTGGAAACATTGGCCTTGTTACTATGTTTAGGACTTTAACATAAAACAGTTCATATGGAAACAAATTGTGTTTAGAGCATTTAATTTCTTTTCCTTTGCTCAGTGAGTAGCATTTATTTTAGAACTTACTTGGCTTTTGAAGTGTAACAATAATGAACCATTGCAGCGCTACACTGTGACCACTTATAGGCTCTGGCTTTCAAAACATGTTTTTTAGCATCAACACATTATAAAGACCTATTTGAAGCAGTTCTGTTGCCGTTTAAAAGCAATATAAATTCTATTTGATCAATATTTTATTTTCATTTTACTGCTAATAATACATTTTAAGCCACTTCTTGGATCTCAAAAGTGTATTTTAAATTAATTTACTGAGCTAAACAAATGCAAGTCTTAATGAAGTCCATTTCAATTCAGCTGATTTAACAGCAGGACACAGTGGCAGTTCTAGTTCACGATTTTAAGTGGGGTGCAGTAACTTAATTTTTTTGGCAAAATTTTCAAAAGCTTGTAAGAATTTTGGGGACCTTTTCAAAATAGATCATAGGTACAACTGACTTCAACAGAGTTAAACTCCTAAGTAATTTTGAGTGCTTTTGAAAAAAATTACCCCATGTGCTCATTAATTAAGGACACTTCTGAAACATGCCCCTTTTGTGCTCTCTTCTGCTTGACAGGCTTTTTGATAGATCCCTATAGCTATTGCTGTTCAGACTTCATCATACACAGGTAGCTTTACATGTGCGGGCAATAGGGAAGCGTTGGGCCGTTTTGAGGGCTGTTTACAGGACCCAGCCAAAATGTATGTGCTGGGGTACTCCAGCAGCTGCCTCACATGGCTCAGCTAGAACAGCAACGCATTTAAATAGTGAACAAACTGGGAGGAAGATAACAATTTGTTTTTGAAACCTTTGTTGTAGAGTCTCTACTCACTATGACATTTCAAAACTGAAACCTTGACTGAATTGCAGCTGTGATAGTGTCTGGTCTGTCTTCTGCTTAGCCCTTACTTACTTTTTATAAACAAATACTCTGAAATAGGCACAGTTTATGATTTTGAAATGTCTACATATATATATGGCACTGCTCATTTCCACTGTACAGTATGCAGTTTTACATTTTTTGCCATTATTTACAATAAGCTATGTTGTTGTATCCTGTAATTAACAGTGATTTTAAAAGACTGTTCTTGGTCTTTAAACATGTTGGTATGTTTTCTTTTTTTGGGCCTCCCTTTCAAAATGAAGGCTGTACCTTGGAAAATTTTCAGAAATCACCAGAGCTAAAGTCCCTGCATTGAACTCCAGTTGTTTGTATACTGCTAGCAGCTACAGGTTTCTAATGTTGATTGTATTTCGGATTAGCATGGCAGCTCCATTTTTCTTTTAGGAAACAGATGAATCCCACTTATGCTACCAAACCAAGTCTCGTAATCTTAGCTGAAAGGAAGGAATGAATGATGAACACAATTGGTTTTGGACACGAATGCAGGTCCAGTTGCTGAAATTAAAAAAGAGAGTTGAAAAGTGTGAGTTCTTGATGGTTGTATTAGAACACTGGTAAGATGAGCAGTCATTTGCAGATTCTTGATTTATTGCTTCCTAATATTCTCAAAGCAACAAACAGCCCTTTACCACATCCATTACACTGAATTTTATATTCACACAGTTGTTCTTGTAGCAAATATTTAGGCGATTAAGATTAATCAGTAGTAATCCTGGATCTGCCTGAAACAACATCCTAAGGCTGCAAGGTTCACTTTTGGATGAGGCCATAAAAATAACACTACTGGTTCCATTAAGAAGTTGGGGAAAAATAACCCTTCCAGTCTTCATGCAGATTAAATCTCTAGCTTTTAGAGAGAAACTCGCAGAGAAAAACAGGTCTTCTACTGGAGTAGGACAGGAAAACAGCTTTGGGGTACAGTCTGGATGGATGGGAGGGAAGAGGGACTTACTGCATGGTAGCAGTTCAGTCAGCCTCAGTAGGTTTTCGCTAACTGAGAGCATTGTCAGAGATCAGATAATACCTTGACCTTTAGGGCTAGAGCCAACAAAGGGCTTTGTTGGCTCTAGCCCTTACTGCAATGTTCAGTATTCTGGCCTGCCGAATGGAGTCCAAAACACTGTGCTATGTGCCTAAGCTCCCTTTTGCAATGTCTGATGAGAGTTGCTCCTATTTCACATTTTAAAGAGAGGGCTTGGTTGTCTCCCTTCAGGAGAGGGTTCCAGGCCATATCTCCTCAGTGGAAAGCAGCAGCTCAGTTCCAAAGAAGGGAGAGATTTAACATATACCTCCATCCTTAGCACTAGCTAGTTCTACGTAGCCCCCTGCTTAGCAGGCTAGTTAGTGTGGATTCCACTCTGACGCACCTAACTTCCAAAGACCTTTCTTGGATCAACCTGTAGCCCTGGGGCTCAGTGTAAGTTAGAGGTATAGTAGTGAGCTATTTCTGGAAAGCTCTGGCAAATGAAACAATCTGTGCTTGTTGAAATGTGCTTTGGGATGTTGCATGAGAGGTCCACATTTAGCAGGAAGAGAGTCTGGAAAAAGCATACATTTCTTAACACTGTCATCTCACTTTTGTTCATTATGTTCACTGCCTTGTAAGGACAAAAACATAAATCAGTACAGGTCTAAGTCTGGTGACAGAGCAAAAGCAGAAACAATGCAGTATGGCTGCAGGGTGTATAAAACAGCTGACTATTGTGGCACAATGTCTCAGCAATGTTCCCTCTGGTCCTCTGAGCTTCCTAATCTATTTACATGCACACAATATGTCCTGGGCAAAATGGCTACATAAAGTCTACCCTTGTTGTGCAGCCACAAGAATGGCAGTACTGACTGAAGATATTTAGATCAGGTGGAGATTAGGGTGTACAGTTTACTCCATTTTAATAAAATCACCAGTACTGTCAATGCTACCAACTTGTCAGTTCCACCAGTGCCCACTCCAGGTCCATATTGCTGGGTTGAAAAGCTAACTTCTGAAATCCCACACCTACCTCTGAAAAACAATGACCAGAAACAGTTTTATTACTTTCTGTTACCAGCCTGCTCTTACTCTAAATGAAGCCAACAGCCAAATCCTAACTTGGGTGTGAGCAGGTCAGGGTTGAAAGCCAGTGTGGGTCAACCTTTCCAGTAGCCCCATACCCTCCTGAGTGCCATTGTGATCCCCTCCCCCTTCTTTGTCTGCTGCTCTGCTTTCTGCTTCCTGCCCTGGGGTCCCTGTTCCATCTGCTGCTAGCTGCTGCTGTGCTACCTGTCCTCTCCCTGATCGGTCATATCTGACACGCAGAGGCTGCCCATACCACTTGTGCAGGGGTGGGCAAAATATGGCCCACGGGCTGCATCTGGCCCATGAGGCCATTCTATCCAGCCTGAGGGGCTCCTAAAAAAATTTGGAAAAATTAATATTTCTCTGCCCTTGGTTCCTGTCAAAAATGACAGGAACCAAGGGTAGTAGGACCCAGGGAAAGTCCAGTGGGCTTCCACAACAGCGGGGCCTGCCCAGCCCCACCCCCCAGCCAGAAGCCTCAGCCAGGGTTTCTGGGCTGGGAGCACGTGGCTGCCCCAACGCGGGAAGCTTAGGTAAGTGGGGGGGACCCCGGGCAGGGAAGGAGCGTGGGGGGGAAGCGGCCCCTCCCCACCCCACACCCGGTGCCCCACACTGCAGTTGCTTGCAGCCCGTGTGGGGCTGTCTATACCCACTCTGGACAGCCCCATGTGGGCTGCAGGCACCTGCAGTGGAGGGCACCGGGCGTGGGGCAGGGGAGGGACCGCTTCCTCTTCTGCGCTCAGCTTTTCCCTGGGCTCCTCCCGTGCGGAGAAAAGCAGCCCCTCGTCCACCCCATGGCTGGCGCCCCACGCTGGGGGTGCTTGCAGCCCATGTGGGGTTGTTCAGAGCAGGCACAGGTAGCCCCAGGCAGGCTGTCAGCAGCTGCAGTGCAAGGTGCCAGGCATGGAATGGGGAGGGGCTGCTTTCTCCCCCACCACCTTGTAACCCAGCCCCACTGCCAGGCTGGCAGTGGGGTGGGTTACCAGCTGATGCTGAGCACGGGGAAAAGTGGCCCCTTGCCTGCCCCATGCCCAGCATCCCACGCTGCAGCCACTCGCAGCCTACCTAGGGCTGCCTGTGCCTGCTCCGGACAGCCCCGCATGGGTTGTGAGCACCTGCAGCGTAAGGCACTGGCCATGGGGCAGGTGAGGGGCCATTTTTCCCCCCACACAGCACCAGCTTCTTTCCTGCTGGCAAGCAGCGGGTCGGGGCTGAGTGCTGCCCCCCCTGCCTGTACTGCAGGGCTGGGGGGCACTGGGTGTGAGCGGACGGGGACTCAATGGAGCATAGGGCCCACACTGGTGCCTTTGGGTCAGTGCTGGCAGGGCCCAGAGCAGGGTGGCATGAGCGCGGGGTCCCAGCTGGCAGGGGCTCTATGGAGCTGGGCCAGCTCCCCCCTCTCCCTGCGGGTGCAGCTCAGCCTGGCCACACAGTCCCCTGCCAGCCCACACCCTGCTTTGGGCCCCACCGGTGCTGGCCCTGGGACATTGGTCCCAAGACATTGGGATGTTAGTCCCCAGATGATGACCAGGGGGTGGGGCACCTGTCAAGGAGTGGGGCACCTGTCAAGGGGCAGGGCTACCCATGCGGCCCTCAACAACTTGCCAAAACTGGGTAAGCGGCCCTCCTCTCAAAATAATTGCCTGCCCCTGCACTAGTGGCACACGTGCCGCAGATTGGCCACCCCTGTTCTAAATTAGTTCACTGTGTGTGTTCAGTTTGTGCGTTTCCATCAGTAACCATGTTCACATGGCAAGTGCAGATGGCTTATTCAAGACTGACTGAACTCTACAGTGGGATTAGGCACAGGTGCCAACTGGCTTTTCTGGAGGGCCAGTCAACTGCCAGTCAAACCAATTCTGTGCCACTATTTGACGTGGCTGTTTTGTTTTTTTTTCCTAATTCTGTATTTCAATAATGGGCACAGCCTCTGGCTATAAAGAGGGACTTTATTGGCCTTGCTACCAATGTTGCAGAACTGTGCAGGTAAAGAGCAAACTAATGACCTGATTGAGAGGCACTGAGCACCTGCGAGGTAGAGTTGACAGGCTTTAACAAGTCTGACAGGTAACAAGCTAACAAGGCGGGGACCTGTCAGACTGACTATCCAAAAGATTTTAGCATCAGAAGTTTTAGATCTTCAGAAGTGATTGATACATACTCAGCTACCAGAACAACTAGCCAGGTTTTCAAAAGAGCTCAATATGTTTGGTACCAGGATCTTTTAAAAAATCTGCCCCTTCATTAGCGTTTTGTTTTTTTTTTCAGAATTTGTTTAATTGGTGTACATAACTATAAAGACTGGAGTCTGACACCTAGGAGACCACTGGATCATTCTCCTGTTTTAAGAGTTTAACAGATCAGAGCTTGATTCCTAGGAACCACGGTACCCAGGAACTGCTTTGCATATAACTAGGCTTGTTAGTGCCTGTCCCAAACCATGAATTCAAGGACCATAAAACACTGCATCATAGCAATCTTGCAGGAATTAGTGGTTTAAAGTAATCACATACTACAATGGTTTCATTCTTATAGTTAAATGTTACTTACAAGTTCTCCATCCTTTCCTCCAAAGTCTAAATAAAGCATCCTAATCCCATCATCGGAGGACATTTTTAGTTTTTCATAGGGATACTGTATAATCATTTTAGAGAAGGCACCATCTTGTGGTTCGGTTGAGAGAGAGAACCCGTGCTCATAGTGGATGGTCAGATGGCACTCCTGGTTTTTGTAGGTACAAGCTGAGTAAGAAAAACAAAAGATTCTTCACATCAGAGTGTTCATTTTCATGGCCACAACAATTTATATTCACCCTTTTAGCTGTAACAAGGTTACTAACTTTTAAAGGGACCATTAGAATTGTTTACAGCCAAATTAAAAATACCCCAAAAACCTGACTTCAAAATTATTCTAATGTAGCCTGAAACTATTCGACTTGTAAAAAAAAGAATTCAGCATTATTTTATAGACAAGTAATGCCATCCTTTTGTAAACATCAGGACTAGGGACAGACTTTACACTTTCAAAATGGCCAAAACTAGTTGAAGATAAACCTGGATGGATGTAGTATCAGACTTAACTGATTTAGCCCAAGTCAGTTTATGGAAATTCTGTCCCAGCTCCCTTCCCAGTTCAAGTTAACGTGTTCCCCCAGCATCCCAAGATGCTTTGCAGCCCTGGGCTAGGCTGTCTACTTCAGTGGAGCAGGGTCTGCCCTGCCCCTCTTCTCCCGAGCATGCTTCCTGCCTGCACCTGTCAGCCCGTAGGGATGGGGGCAGGGGAACAGACCCCCAGGCCCTCCCAGCCTAGGTCTGCACAGCATGCTAGGGGAGGGAAAGCCCCCGGGTGGAGGGTTTTCACCCTTTTGCAGCCCTCCTCCCACGGACGCCTCATGCCTCCTGAGGCTGGGGCGGCACAGTGACTGCCCACAGGTGGTGTTGGCAATGTTGGTGGTGGTGGCGGCGAGTGGGCACTGCCTGCAAGCAGCCGGGGGGGGTGGTGATCAGCGATTGGCAATTGCCCACAGATGCCACTGGCAGTTTCAGCAAGAGGTGGAGGGGGGAAATGTGTGGCAAGTGGCGACTGCCTGGCGGCAGCAGCCAATCTCAGGAGGGGCATGGCTAATCTCAGGGGGGGCACGTTCACCTGTGTGCACCCCCTACGTGTCGCCAATGCCTCCCCCTGCTGGAGGCATCCCAGGGAGCTGGGGGAATTCCCCCCCTCCCTGGCACAACCGCTTTTCTCAGCCACTGCCACAGGAGGGTGGGGGAAGGATTCCCCTGGGCTGGATGCCTGCCCCTGCAGCCCAGCATGGGGGCACCAGGGAGCCCCTGCCTTGGGGGGCTGCCCCCCAAACGGCAGCCCTGGGGAGCTCAGAGGAATTATTCCCCTTTCGCTCCCCCGTAGCTCCTTGCCTCAGCTGCTGCCACAGGAGGAGGGGGAAGGAGTCTGAGGCGAGCAGTGTCGCAGAGGAGGCTGCCTTGGGCTGGGGGGGAGGCCCCTGAGGCATAGGCTCCATGCTGCCCCCATGCAGGCTGTGTGGGCAGGCACCTGGCCCAGGGCACTTCTTCCTCCTCCCTCCTGTGGCAGTGGCTGAGGCAAGCAGCAGCGGGGGCGCGGGAGGATTCCCCTTGGCTGCCCAGGCTGGGGAAACCCGCCAAGGTGGAGGTTCCCCACAGGTGGGTCAGCACTTGGATGAGGGCTCCTCAACCCACTGTGGGGGGACAGCCAGGGATTGGGAACATGTGCTGAAAAGCCAATTGGGGATGGCCCCACTTGGCTGGGCTCATAATGGCCAGCAGGCTGGGAGACTTGCTCTGGCACCCCCACCTAATAGCCTGGGTCAGTGCAGGCCTCCCCCTGCCTTTCCCAGTTGAAAACTGAACATCAGTTCAGCTGGTTATCGGTTCAACATACAAAGCTTAAAGGAAGCTGCCTAGATTGAATCGATTCTGCCTCCAGCTTTTTGATGGTCTGTACTTAGCCCTAGGGTTAAAGCTGAGACCTTAAATGTGCACACACAGCTAAAGTTGTGTGACTAGTTGAGGCTGGATAGCTAGAGGACTAGATGCTACCTTTAGGTGCCTGACACATGACAGTTCATGTCTTTTAACTTGCGTTCCCAAGGTTTTTGTAGTTCAGCACTAGTCTTTCTTAGTAAGCCAGTTAAGTGTGTTTGAACAGATGGCATCTCTTTTACAGATTGACAAATTCCTGCAGAAATTGCAATAGGCTTCATTAGAATAATTTCTACTGCTCTCTGATTATTTCCATGGGATGGCAAACTGCCCGGGAACCTATACAGTAACAGATCTGTTGCTTTTTTGCAAAATATAACTGCCAACCAGAACTAGTTAACTTTCCAACAGAATTTTACTTATGACATATGTTACTTGGCATTTACTTATGATGTATCTGTTTCCATCCTTTACTCTCCCCCTGAGCAGAGACCAAGTTAAAATAGTTGCTTTTTCTTCTGTGTCTACTGCTAGCTCAATAGGGTAAGGCTACTGGTTGCCTTCCCAAGGCACATGGAGGTAGTTAGGCATGTTACTACCACAGTTGGCCACTCAGTTGGTGTTTATATGCAAATTAAGGTTACCATATTTCCAGTTTCAAAAAAGAGGACACCTGTGTATGTGTGTGTTGGGGGGGGGGCATTATATGATTGTGGGGGGGACAGTGATATACGTCCATGCCCAGCCGTGCCCTGCCCCTCACTCCCAAGCCACAGCCCTGCTGGTGCCCCTCACTCCCAACTCATAGCCCCCTGCCCTCCTACCCTACTGGTGCCCCTCACTCCCAACCCATAGCCCCCTGCCTCCCCAGTCCTACCGACCACTCAGCTCCCTGCTGCCCCTAAAGAATCCCCCACCCCCTTCCCCTGCCTCCCCACCCTGCTGCAGCGCTGGCAGACACACATGCATGCGCACACACTGCCGGGGCCCATGCTCCAGCCTCCAGTCACCTTCCTGGTCTACCTCAGCAAGGAGCTGTTTGGGGCTGGGGGCAGAGGGGAAGTGCCGGGAAAGCAGAAGCAGAACAAAATCCTGGACATTTGCTATTTTAAAAAACCACCCGGAAGGAGATGGGAGGACCCAAAAAGAAGGCATGTCTGGGAAAACCCAGACATATGGTAACCCTAATGTAAGTAATAATTATTTAATTGAATGGTTGGCTTGTTGCTCAAGACACATGAACATATGTAATACAGCTGACTTTCTGTGCCTAAAGGCTATCCAAAAAATCTGCACAGACCCAAAGGATACTATGACTTAACCTGTCCTGTGATAGATGATCCATTGCTCTGTAGCCTTATTAATGATTCAAAATTAACTGAAGTTATGGAGGAAAATACATTTCTAGCTGCTTCGGAAGCTTCTGTGTTAAAAAGCTCGAGCAGGCAAGTGGTGTTGGCAATGGTGGTGGTGGCAGTGGCGAGTGGGGACTGCCTGCAGGTGGCCGAGGGGCAGTGATCAGCGATTGGCAATTGCCCACAGACGCCACTGGCAGTTTCAGCAAGGGCTGGAGGAGGGAAATGTGTGGCAAGCGGCAACTGCCTGGCGGCAGCAGCCAATCTCAGGGGGGGCACATTCACCTGTGTGCACCCCCTACGTGTCGCCAATGCCTCCCCCTGCTGGAGGCATCCCAGGGAGCTGGGGGAATTCCCCCCCTCCCTGGCACAACCGCTTTTCTCAGCCACTGCCACAGGAGGGTGGGGGAAGGATTCCCCTGGGCTGGATGCCTGCCCCTGCAGCCCAGCATGGGGGCACCAGGGAGCCCCTGCCTTAGGGGGCTCTCCCCCGAACAGCAGCCCTGGAGAGCTCAGAGGAATTATTCCCCTTCTGCTCCCCCGTAGCTCCTTGCCTCAGCTGCTGCCACAGGAGGAGGGGGAAGGAGTCTGAAGCGAGCAGTGTCGCAGAGGAGGCTGCCTTGAGCTGGGGGGGAGGCCCCCGAGGCATAGGCTCCCTGCTGCCCCCATGCAGGCTGTGTGGGCAGGCACCTGGCCCAGGGCACTGCTTCCTCCTCCCTCCTGTGGCAGTGGCTGAGGCAAGCAGCAGCGGGGGCGCGGGAGAATTCCCCTTGGCTGCCCAGGCTGGGGAAACCCGCCAAGGTGGAGGTTCCCCACAGGTGGGTCAGCACTTGGATGAGGGCTCCTCAACACACTGTGGGGGGACAGCCGGGGACTGGGGACATGTGCTGAAAAGCCAATTGGGGATGGCCCCACTTGGCTGGGCTCATAATGGCCAGCAGGCTGGGAGACATGCTGTGGCACCCCCACCTACTAGCCTGGGTCAGTGCAGGCCTCCCCCTGCCTTTCCCGGTTGAAAACTGAACGTCAGTTCAGCTGGTTATCGGTTCAACGTACAAAGCTTAAAGGAAGCTGCCTAGATTGAATCAATTTTGCCTCAGGCTTTTTGATGGTCTGGTCCTATGTAGCAAAACTCTTCCACCTTTGAGGCTGGATGAAGCTGATTCAAAGTTGGGGTCATTTAGCTCAGCTGTACTGGTACAAGCTAATGCACATGCACACAGAGCATGTGGGTAGGACTTATTTTCTCTGCAGGATGCTGAGCATTCAGCTACTGTAATGTGGGCCTACCCTAAACTTTTTTTGTCAAGATACTGGAGTATCCTCTCCATTTCAAATGCACACACATTATGAAGGCTGGACATGTTGTAGATTTGGCTGGTCTGCTTTCCTCCCTGCCAGCTCTTCCTGTCAGAGGAATTAAGGCTCTTGAGTAGCTGGTTTTCCCTCTGTGGACACGACCTGTTCTTTACAAGGCACTCACAGATTATTGCCCATGATGGTACAATCTTTCTGCCCCGCGCTTCAATGCAAGCTGGGCAAACCCCAGTCAAAACTCCCTCCCATTCTTAAGACAGCACTGGGGGCAAGGCTAAGATGCATCAGCCCAACCCTGCTCCCAGTGCAAGCAAACAGACATTAACAAGGGTGCTCCGCTTTGAGCACCTTCAGCTGAACCCTCATGTACTGTAATGAGGCTTCTGTACAAACCCTACATGTAATGAGGGTTCAGATTTTCATTCAATTGGGTACTTTCAAAGTGCTCTGCAGCTGTACCCTTCTGCAAGGGCATGGCTGTAGAGCGCTTTCAAGGGGCCAGTCACGCAATAAATGTAACTTCTGTCTGTCCCCTTAGTATTTCTAAACGCTTGGCTGAAGAGTTTTGGAGAAAGAATGTGAAAGACAGCCCTGAGAGTTGACTGATACCTTGTGAGATGATGTATCTTCTGATGGCCTTAAGTAAAGTAAAGACACTCTAGTTTTATACCTAAGGCTTTGAAAAATTAATATAATTCATTCTGTTTTGCAGTATCAAAATGGGATTGATATGTATTTTCATACAATCCATACACATAAAAATTGATTTTTTTTAGATGTTGCTGGGATTAATAAAATCATCCCTTTACTTCATTCATATCATTCTTCACAGTTTTGTTTATCTCTGAATGTCAAGACCCAAAGTAAAATATTAAATTTAAGATTCAGGTGGCATTTTGTGCTTCCAAACTATATATTCAGAGAGACAGCCGCTCTTTTCAAGTACAAAACGAGTGACAAAAATTAAAAGCTGTAAGGGGAATGCCTGAAGAATTTCAACAAAGCTGAAGACACTTTTGAGTACTAATTAGTTTCATGGTAATTGGAAAAAAGGCCCTGATAATTGTATCCAAAACCTATTGCAGCAGAAAACCTGCAGCATGTTGGTTTAACCTTTAGGTTAGCTCAAGGACTAAAACCCACATCCAGGAACTTTTTCAAGTGCCTAAATTCTGCATATACCCCAAATGGTGATACCGGAAACTCCCAAATTTTGCCCGAGGAGTTACCTAACTCATCAGAAGCCTCAGCTTTGGACCTAAAAGAAGTTGTCTGAAGTTTTGTGTGTGCACATGCCCAGAAATATCTGGGTCCTGCCAGGGCTGACAGGATGCTCTTGGGATCCAGAAATGAGGCATTCCTGCCTGTCTCCCTAACGGGCATGGTGCAGTCTGGGTTCTTAGACCATGTCAAACATGCACCTGCAAGGCTCTACAGTAGCAATGTCCATATGCTTTCAGGATGTGACTGGAGTAGGTGGTGGTGGTTGCATTTAGACCATCCAGTCAGTGTGTGGAAACCCATTTTGATTTCCTCCTCTGCAGGGAGCAAGGGGGTGTGATACAAAGGACTATTTGAATGTATTCGATATGAAACAGTCCTTGAAGTAAGCTAGAACCCAGGACTGCTTCCCCCTGCCCCAGAAGTGTCATAACCACAAGGTTAATCATGTTTCTTCTGCTCTTTCTTTGGCCAATGAACCTTGACTTTTTTTCTCCAGTGTGCCCCCTTCCCCATGTAGGGCACTCTCCAGAAGATAGCAGACCAAGATTTGAATCCTCTCAGGCAGAGAAGCAAATTGCAAAAGCCCCCATGGCTCACCAAAAGCACCCGGGAATGTCTCCTAGCTAAAAGGGAAGCATGCACCCAATGGAAGGGAGGGGCCATCACCAGGGAGGACTATACTGCAGTTGCTCGGGGCTGCAGGGGGGCTGTCAGGAAGGCCAAGGCGGAGATGGGACTGGGACTAGCTACCCTCTCCATGTACCTCACCAGAGGTACCCCTGAAGCTACAACTGGCTGGAGGAGCAAGAAACAAACTTTTCACGAAAGCAGTTCATGCTTGTGTTGAAAATTCAATAAGTTCTATTAGTAATGGCCTTGGAGAAGAATACCGGCTGTTTCCTGCTTTACCTGAAAAGGATATGGGATTGCTGTCACAGGAAGGTTCTAAGTGCAGGTTAAAACAAGTATTTGTCTGGGAGAGTTTAGACAGGAATAATCCTGCTTTTAGGAGGGGATTGGACCAGATGACCTGAGGTTCCTTCCAGTTTTACTTTCTGACTCTAACCATTGATCCCAGACTAATCACCAGAGAGCCAACATTTTGATCCGTGTATAATGAAATAGGCTTAAGGACAAAAAGCTGAAGGGAGTCACTGTAAAGAAGAGCAGCTTCCAAGCGTTACTCACAGGTTGTGATTTCTGTGATGAGCTCAGCTGAGTTGTGACAGCCCTGCACTATGTTCCTTGTCCACAGGGAGAGGTCTCTGCTAGTCTCTGTTCTGAAGAGATGAGTTTCAATCCCTTGCCTTGTTCCAGTGCGGGTTGCAAAGGATAAATGCACCCCTGACT